GGTCCCGTCACGGGTGGCACAGCTCAGAGCCATGTTCACCTAAAACACAAGGAACAGGAAGCAGAACATCCTTTCTTTTGGCTTCATCCTCTCCCCCATTAAACTACAGAGACTACATCATATAAATCCTATTCTGCTCATGTTTAACTATCCTGCATTTCTTGAACCTTTCTTACATGCTTCAGGTGGTATACTTAACCTTACACCTCCTAAAGACAAAGTTAAGAAATGGAGTGTTATCTGGGCAGTGTGCACACCTTTAATTTCAGCAGTTGGGAGGCAGAGGCAGGTGGCTCTCTGTGAGTTCAAGGCCAGCCTGGTCCACATAGCTAGTTCCAGCTCAGCTAGGGCTGTTACACAGAGAAACCTTGTCTCAAAACAAGCAAACAAACAAACAAAGAAATGGAGTGTCTATCCATCTGCCTGTCCATTCTCTGCCCTCTACCCTGAGCTACCAGCTTGCTCTTCTCTGTGGATGGTCTGCCCACTGCTCATCTTGGATCTCAACTTTCTTCTTACCAGTTGGTATCTCCAATCCAATTACTTCCTCCCTTTCAATTAGTTTCTCACTTTGTCTTAAATCATGTTACCATTTAATAATGTGTCAATAACTTCCATCTCTGCTTTCCCATTCCACCGTACCCTTCCTTCCACATACTGCCCCTTAACTAGTTCTATTTCACAGATAACTTGTCAAAAAGTCATTTAGTCATTATCCCCACTTTCTTTTCTTTACTTTTTTTTGCCAAGACAGAGTTTCTCTGTGTAGCTCTGTAGACCAGGCTGGTCTTGAACTCACAGAGATCTGCCTGCCTCTGCCTCTCTGCGGTGTGTGCCACCACCGCCCAGCTCATTATCCCCATTTTCAGCTACATAATAACTTCCTAGTTTGAGGCCTACCAAAGTGAGGCCCCAAATACATGGCTGTTGACTGAAGTAATCAATTAAACAATCATACCAACAAGCTTTTTGATAGGAAGGTCAATTTAAAAAACTAAGGATTGCACTTCTTTTTTCTAAATGATGTAGCTTAGTGGTAGAGACTTGCCTTGCTTGTGCAAGGCCCTGGGTTCAATTCATAACCCCACAATAAAAGCAAAATGAAAAGATCAAAGAATGAACATTGTAATGACCTATTAACAGGTATGCTTAAATTTCAATGTTGTGGGTTAGAGAAGTGCTATAAAAGAACAATGGTGCCAACAGAGTACAGCACTCCTGGAGAGCTGTTTGGGAATGCCCATCTAAATAGAGATGATGCTTGACTGGATTTTATTTCTACTTTTTTGTTTTGTTTTTGCTTTGCTTTTGCATTTTTTTAGATCTATTTATCATTCCTCCTCATGTATCTCTGAAGGCCAGAAGAGGGCACCAGATCTCATTAGGGATAGTTGTGAGCCACCATGTGGGTGCTGGGAATTGAACTCAGGACCTCTGGAACAGCAGCCAGTGCTCTTAACCTCTGAGCCATCTCTCCAGCCCCTATTTCTAATTTTTAAGAGAATGTAGAAATTTAGATTCTGCATAAAAATCTTCTCATTTTTAAATGTTGGCAATTAATATTTTAAAACATCAAAGACTACTTGTCTCAAAAATATATTCACATGAGCTCTGCTAGTCTAGTTCCCTGTCCAGAGAAGTGCTCTTCAGCATTGTTTTTAGTTTCTACAATGTAAAGACAGGAGAGGGCTGTCATTCTCCATGTGGGCAGGTCTTGGCTTTGCAGTATGAAGGGTTTCCTGACATCGATTCTTTTTTCTTGAGAATGGTGCATTATCACTCTCAGAAGAGACAGAGGCAGATTTACTGTGGATACTAGCTTTAGCTATTAGTATTATTTCATTTTAATTCTTTGACAATTTTCAACTATTGATATTTTTTTAATTAAAAAATTGTTTGAGACAGGACTTCACTATGTAGCTCTGGCTGGCAAGGAACTCACTATAAAGACCAGACTGACCTCAGATTCACAGATATCTGGTAGTTCCTCAATCTGTTTGTTCCTGGGTGACTGTAAAGTTGCCTAGTTACAGGCTAGATGGGACAGAAAGGGCTACTAGGGAGCTCAAGACATTTCAGATCTAGAGCTCTCAGCCTGCTGCCTTGAATCTGTATGGACAGGATGCCCAGAGGGTGTTGGGCAGTTTACACCTTGCCTAGCAGAAAAAGAAACCACCTCTCTGACTTTAGGTGACTACTTACCTCTTGTTTCCCTGGAATGCTTCTGTGGAAGGCCTTTTATAGTCTACTGATAGTTAATGAGAAGATCTGGGAGACCTACATGATACACTCACCATGTTTTGTTCAGCAATATAACACTGGATGAATCTCTCTGGGGGTTCTTTCTTGAATATGTCAGAAAAGTTGGAGTTCTTGGTATCACCGTCCAGCACAATAACTCTGTCATTTTCATGGCCTAGTTTAGTTAGAGACAAACTACATGTTTTTTGAGTAGACACCTAGAACAAAAAGTCAAGTGGTAAGACTTTCTTGGGAGTACACTTAGAAAGAAGTTATTACTTCATAGGTATATAAATTGTTCTTTGATAAATTTATGATTTACCAACGGTATCCTTCAGAATCACACATATGGTGGTTCACAACTGTACCTCCAGAACTCAAGAAGGATAATGAGTTCAAGTCTAGCCTGGGCTGTAGTGAGACCCTATTTCAAAAAACAAACAAAACTTTCCCCAAGCCAACCAGCTCACCCACCCAAAACAAGAAAAAATTTCAGCTATAGAGGAGGCAAAATTATCTTTACATCTTATAATCATGAATAAAATTCCATTATTGTGTACCAACTGGTTCATCCATAGAGATCAGGATAAAAGAAGACTCCTGTGTATTAAGGAAGAAAATTTTTAAAAAATACATGATAATGTACATGACTTTAATCTTCTACACTTTTGCCTACCATGTCATCAGCTATGTAAACAGGGGGTGAGGTCATATTTATATCCATGATGTTGATTTGAGATAAGTCCTCAATAGGGGGTGGTGGTACAAGAATCCTGTTGGTCTGTATCTGGCTCTCAATTAATTTAATAATTTCATCTGCTCTTTCTTTTGGCATTGGCCTTCCATACCAACTTTCTGCATCCTCAACATCTACTACAAAACAAAGGATATTTACTCCAGGTGCTTAATGAGTACCTTCCAGATAATCAGAAACTGACTTTCAAAGAAAAGAGCTGAATGGGAATCACAGGAATAAGGCAGTAAGAGCAGCCTAAGAAAGGTCCCGAGGTTTTTGAAGGAAGCATGCATGTACATGCTAGTGAATGGAGAGTTTTATCAGGGAAACAAGGCTGAAAAGACTGATCAAGCAGAGTGACTTTATATTTATGAGTTTTTACCAGAAGCAAGATTAGAAAGCACGAAAGGTTTGGAAGGGGAGTGAATGATCAGATGTGCTATAGAAAGATTACTGCTGTAGTACTGTGCTTGCAAGAGAGTGATCAAGAAGCAGACAGACTCTTCATGAAGATGCTATGGTTCAACAAAGATGATGGGGACTTAGTGACAGTAAGATAGTAGAGAGAGAAGGAGGAGGGAATGCATATGAGATACACTCTAGTGACTGGATATGTAAGGAGGAATGTAAGGGAGACGTGAAGGTAATTTAAACATCCAGGATCTGGCAGGGGCTCATTGGTAAAGTTGTCATTTACCAAATTGGTAGAACCAGAATAAGGCTGTATTTTTTGGAGGAGTTATTCTAAATTGTCTATGTTACTTTTAAAAATGATGAATCATATCTTCCTCAACTACTTAAACTTGAGAAACTAAAACTGAGGTAGAAAATTCCAGATGACAATCTTGAAATGTGCAAAGAGTGACATCTTGCATTATGTCTCATTTTCTCCCTAGTTTTAATTATTTATGCAGTGGATTAAGTGAATATAAATGTAATAATGAAAGAGAAAAACCCTAAGTGAAGGTCCACTACTTCAGAATGGCCATACTAACTGTATAGAAGTTCAGTGAATAGAGTTTGGGACTAAGAAAGTGCTTAAGTGGCTTCCTTAAACTAGCTGATGCATTTATTTGTGAATTAATTAGAACAAAATTATTTTATTTAGGAAAAAATTATTTTATTTAAAAATAAATCTCTATATCATTAGCCCCAGTACCCAAGCTTCTGTTCTCTATGTGTTCTTCCAGATGATCTGGGTCTAGACAAATGTATATGCATATACCACCTTACTTCTGGGCTTGCCTCTACATATAGTATACTAACCATATAGCTCCTTTCCTGTTCCCACTGGTGAACTGTTCCACTAGCTATTCTCTTATAAGGACAAAAAAACCATTGTTTACTTGGTAGAAGTTTGGTCTTCGCCTCTTATCCTAACCAGACATATTAACTAGTGAGGTCAAATGAGAGATGCAGCCCTGAATGTTACTACCAGTAACACTGTTCACTAAGGAAATCATCAGCCTAGTCACTGCCTCTTTCTGTCTGCTCTGCTCCATGAACAAATGGTTTGAATACTCACAGGAAGGAAACACTTGGCATGCCTCGGGCCTTGAAGATCTTAACAACCACAGCCCTGGGCTTGCCTCTCACTTGAGCTGCCTGGGAGAACACATGACATAGGGTCTTCAAGTCATGGCCATCCACCACATAAGTCCACCTGTCATCAAGGAGGTTAGATTACAATGAAGAAGGAGGAAGGGACAGAAAGAAGGCACAGCAACAAAGGAACAGTTACCCAAAGGCTTCCCAACGCTTCTGGTAGCAATGCAGTGCTCAACTGACATGGAGTCACTGTGTCCAATGCGGTTCATATCAAAGATTGTTATGAGATTGTTCAGATTGTAGCAGGATGTACAGGCCAATGTCTCCCAGACAGAGCCTCCTGTGGACTTCCCGTCACCCAGAAGACAGAACACTTGGTAGAAAGAAACAGTTAGGACCCTTCTGGGGCTCACTTAGGCCCCCCAGCAAATCAATTTCATGGAGATTAAAAAAAACACAAGGGAGAGGACAGACAGAAACAGAGAAAGACACTGAGAGACAGAGTAAGAGATATAGAGAGACAGATGAGAGACTGAGACACTGGGAGGTGCTTCAGACTTCAGAATGTCATTAAGACAACTTTCCTCTATGACAGACTCTGAAGATCTCCCATGGAAGGCCTCACTTTCCCTGGGGAGCAGATAGGGTATGGGATAGGTAGGGTGTTAGTGGTGGGCTGGGGAGGAGGGGAGGGAGAGGGAACTGGGATTGACATGTAAAACAAGCTTGTTTCTAATTTAAATAAAAGATGAAAAAAAGACAATTTTTCTTCATCAATTCTTTCCAAGCTTAGCAGCTGAGAAAATGAAGTCTGAGCCTCATGAGACAGACTTTACCTTTGACTAGCAGTCTCATTACAGCTCTAAGACTATTTTAGTTGCTTCTGCTCCCTCTCTGACCAGGGTTTGTCAGCAAGCAAGAGGGAATGAGACAGCAGGTCCCTGAAACATGTAAATACTTTTTTTCTAGAAAGCTCCGTTTTTAAAGCATTGGCACCTTTTATTTCTGACCTTAAAATTATTTACAAATCATCATAGTAATGGGAACATACTACCTATGAATCTATGCTCCATCATAAACAGTATACTCCTGTGCAGTAGAGGCATGAAACATTTATACCAATAAAATGTACCTTAGACCTCATGAAAGTATTGTGAGCTTTAAAAAGTTGCTTTTTAAAAAATGTTTTATTTATTTTATGTGTATGAGTGTTTTGCCTGTATATATGTCTAAGAAAATGTCAGATTCCCCTGGAACTGGAGTTACAGACAGTCGTGAATCGCCATGTAGGTGCTGGGAATCCAATCTGAATCTTTTGGAAGAGAAGCCCCTTAAGAAAACTTATTAAACTCAAGGTTGCCATTGAGAGGTAATCATGGATGAAAATTTACAGCGTGAGAAACGTTGTGAGTCAATAGCATGGAACAAGAAAAGCTGCTGGAGGGGGTGGAGGAAACACAACTAAGTCATTTCAAAGGGATTCTCTGAGTTGGAACAAGGCCTCCAAGGAACAAGGTAGATATCTCTTGAGATCCTATGAAATATAAGCATCATCCCTGGAGAAACTGAACCAGAGGAGCTCTAGATTCATGCTCACCACATGCAGCAGAGGATACAAGAAGTCCCAGGTTTAAACCAGGCATTTCACTTGCAGCACTGCTCATCACAAGGAGCAGACTGAGACCAAGAAAGAGACTGTTAACCAACCCAGTAAAGGACATGTGTTACTAATATCTTGGGGCTCCTAATGCAAAGTACATGTTCAATCCACAGCAAAACTGCAGGACAGAAAACACAAAACTGTCTCAGAAAATATTATTAGTGTTCTAATACTCTTGTCACCACTTAGATCTAACCAGAGATGCTTGAAAAGTTCCACAAATGTAATTTATTTACTGATTCAATACTTTGCAACCAGAACTTTCAAAGCCATCATTGTCTTCTCAAACTAATGAGGCAAAATGCAGGGGTGGGGTAGTGAAATGGATTTTCGTGAGTGCCTTACCTGGCTTGGTCAAGGTACTTGCCAGTATATGCCATCCCACAGGCAGCCCCTAGTCTTTGCCCAGACCATTTTGTTGCCACATTAACAAATGGTAGTCCCTGTAAAAGAAAAGACACCAGTGTATATAGGAACAGCTGCAGAACATGGGCTTCAGGCAGATTTCTAGTACTGAGTGCAGGCTACTCCTGCTGACCCACTGGAATTACCCCTCCTATCCCACTGGATGAAATCCTCTTTGCCACATCTACCAAGTCTTCCCAATCTCTTTTGTCTCTACATAGTGACACATTCTTCTATCAGAAAAACATCATGAACTTGGGCTTAGTTTAATTTGTTACCGACTTGAGCATTATTTTACTCATATGCTATAATCTGTAGAACTTCCACATGCTTCCCTCTATCAGAACCATCTATGTGATTGATTACATTCTACAACCTAAAATGAATTTCTTTTTGAAAAGATTTATTTATTTATTAATTTATGTACTTTATGTATATGGGTGTTTTGTCTGCATGTACATTTGCACACCAGAAGAGGGCATCAGATCCCATGGGACTCAACCAGGGAACTCCTACAGCTGATAAACACCTTCAGCAAAGTGGCAGGATACAAGATTAACTCAAAAAAGTCTGTAGCCCTACTATAGACGGATGACACATTGGTGGAGAAAGAAATCAGAGAAGCATCACCCTTTACAATTGCCACAAACAACATAAAATACCTTGGAGTAACACTAACCAAAAAGTGAAAGACCTGTACCATAAGAATTTTGAGTCTCTAAAGAAAGAAATTAAAGAAGATACCCGAAAATGGAAAGATCTCCCATGCTCTTGGATAGGCAGGATCAACATAGTAAAAATGGCAATCTTGTCAAAGCAACATTCAATGCATTCCCCATCAAAATCCCAATACAATTTTTCACAGACCTTGAAAGAACAATTCTCAACTTTATATGGAGAAACAAAAGACCCAGGATA